CTTCTCATTAGCAGACTTGTATTATAAAAAAATTGTCCTATTATAGTGATTATATTTTAAATTTTGTCAATTAAAAAATAGTGGAAATTTGTTTTCTCACTGAATGATAGCTCTGAAGTTGCCTCTCTGCTCTCAAAGTCTAAAAATACTCATTTCCTAGCCTGTCCTCTAGCTTCTCCCTCCGCCTGGGGCTCACCAGGTTCCCAGGACCCCAGGATAGTGACCCCCACCCTGTGTCCGCTCAGGGCCGTGCACCCCACTGCAGACACCCAGCCCCACACCTGGGAGCACAGCTGTCGCCCTGGGGGACAGGGGCCACAGCAGCCTGGGGCGCGTCCTGCCACCAGCTGAGCTCCAAGCTTCCTTCTGCTCCCCTGAGAGCCAAGGCCAGCGTGGGTGGCTGAAATCTCCCCGGTAACGGGGTCGGCCCCTCCCACTTCCAGCCTCCTCCCCTAACCTGCTGCCCCCCACCCTGGCACCTGCTGCTGCCCTCGGCCCCTCCTCCTGCCCCTCCCGCAGCCCCACGCCACCTCAGATCCCTCCTCTGCTGGCTCTCCATGTCACCATCTGTGGCACAATCCTTCTCTGTCACTCTCCCTGCCACCCCCTCGTTCTGTCTCCTTCCTCGCTTGCACGCACGGTCCCTGGCTCTCTCTGCCTCTCTCTCTTGTCCCTTCTCTCTCTTGCCTGCCTTTCCTCCTCCTCTGCTCACCACCACACATCTCTCTCTGCTCCCCCTCATTCTGGCTCTCCACCCACTCTCCTTCTCCCGCTCTCTGCACCTCCGAGCGACCCCCCTTTCCTCTATCTGTATTGGCTTCTTACGGTCCCCTGTCCCAGTCTTCCCCTCCTCACCTCGGGAAGCCACCTCCTCCACCCCACCCGAGCCTGCAGACCCCCATCTGTGCCCCTCACCTGCCAGCATGTGTCCCACAGACGGGGGATGACGCACTGGGCACCGGTGGAAAGTCAGGGCCAAAGAGCAGATGGGAGCGGCTCTGTGGGCAGACGTGGGTGCCCAGGGCCTCAGAGGGGGCCCATGCCCACAAGCAGTCTAGCAGTGGTGCTGCATGAGAACACCAGCTAGGGGTCCTCTGGGGGCACCTGGGGACTGGGAAGCGGGAGGGTGCAGCAGGATAATGACCAGCCTGGCAGCAAGGAGCCCTCGCCCCGTGGGCAGGTAAGGAGGCTGGGCTGGGGTCCTGGAGGGGGGTGCCAGGGCCTACCCTCTGCCCTCGATGAACATGGGAGGCTGGGTTGGGGGCTGGCAGAGTCCTAGGGTGCAGAGTTGGAGGCCTTCCTGGGACCTCTGGTTGGGCTGCAGGGTGGGGAATCCTCTCAGAGTTTGGGGTACAATTCTAGAATCCTGGGGTCTCAGAGTAGCTGAGGGTCAGAGCTGGGTTCGAGGTGTGGTAGCCTGTGGGACCCCCGGGGGCAGTGTGCCTGAGCTCCCTCTCTGCAGGGTGCTGGATTGGGCTCAATCCTGTCCAAGCTTTACAACCACCTTGGCAGTGGGTACCTGCATCTGCATTTAAATGGAGGGAAACTGTCCAAGGTCACACTGCAGCCTGGCACCATCACTCTATAGCAGAGCTCAGACCCCAGCCCAGGACTTGTCAGTAGAAACCAGGGGTCAGACCCAGGGCTAGGGTAGGAGCTGTTCAGTCAGTACGGATGGGCACAATCCAACCTCTTTGGAGGACGGCTTGGGGTATGGAGGACAGCCAGAGGCCATTGGCCGGCCCTGTCCAGGGCTGTCCCAGGCCCTGATTCCTCCCAGCCTGAGGCTGCATGGCTGGGAGATACTGATGCTTTAAGAGTAGAAAGAACCAGGTTCTAATTCTGCCTTCCCACTCAACATCTGGGTGACCTTAGGTGAGTTGGCTAACCTCTCTGATACTCAACATCCTCTTCCTGGGCCTCCTGAGGGTTTCCTGACTGGAGTCTGAAGCCTCCGCCCAGGAAGATGTCCCTTAGTGCTCTCCTGGCCAAAGTACGTGGCCTGCCAATATTTACCAAGTTCTGGGTGATATGCTAGGTGCTGAAAGCTGGCTCAGGAGGGGTATCAGCTGGGAGTCTGGTAACCCCGAGGGACCATCCTTAATCGCTGTGGGGCTCGGGGCAGCCACTCACCCTCTCTGTGCTTCTCTCCCCTCCTGAACAGAATGGTCCTCGGAGGAATCCGCCCCCAGCTTTCAGGCAAGCTGTGCCAAAGATAAACCAGACAGAGAAGAAAATCCCCTCCTTCCCGAGGATGAACTAGATCATGCCCAGGATTCCAGCTGCTTCCAGAAAAACCGGCACCTAAATTGCAGGTCTGCCTAACCCGGTGCAAAGCTATAATTTCCTTGCTCTTGTGGCCCGCCCGCCCGGCCCTCAGGCTGTTAAACTTTGACGGAGAGAATGGGCGGGGACTGGCTGGAGTCCTGCGGGCGGGCTGCAGGGGGCTCCGTGGGGGGCTAGTTCCTCCGCCTGTGCAAAGGGAGGGTCTGGCTGGGGACGAGGCTCTCCTGCTCAGCTGTGTGTTAGCACAGGAGGCTGCTCCTGTGTTTGCCCGGCAGGAGGAGGAGGGGGCTTCCCTGAGGGCATCTGTCCCCAACCCTGGAAATTAGGTTGCCTGGCTCTGCTGCTCTCCAGCCTGGCACTGCCTTCCCTCTGCAGCCCTGGGTTGCGATTGGCTGCCCAGCAGGGTCGCTGTAGAGAGGCTCTGTGCAGAGCAGGGGCAAGGTGGACGGTGACGTAGGGGACCCCCCTCCCCCCGCCACGCACCGAGCCCTGGAAGAAGGACGTTAAAGGTCCTAGACTCCACAGTTCTGGGCTGAGCAAGGACTGACTCCTGCACTGTGGAATTCTAACATTCTGCTTCAAGGACACTGAGCCTGAGAATCTGTGACTGAGATTCTATGACTGTGCTAAGAATTTAAAAGGCTATTTATAGGTCTCCTGCAGTCTACAGCTCTCGGCCCGTGGTCTCAACAGTGAGGGGCAGTTGCAACAGCTCTGAGCTGGCTGGCTGTGGCCCTCTACCAGCCCTCCTCCCTCCTGGCCTGCCTCAGTCTACCGGCCTGTGAAATAGAGGTGCAGGTGGTCTTGGGAGCTCCTCCCAGCTGTGCCCAGCTGCTGCGTGGCTGGCCTTACCTCCATCCCCATCTGTCACTGAGGACAATAGCAGTGTTTCCTTCAGGACACCAGATGCTGCTGCAGCCACCAGCTTCCCCAGTAACCTGGCATGGTCAGGGGCAGTGATATGCAGCTGGCAGCACTCAGCCTAGAGCCCACTGACCCGGATCCCAGGGCCAGAGCCAGAAGAGCTGAGAGTGAGCAGTTTGGTCGGGTGGAGCTCAGGCTTCCCCAGGCTCAGAATCCCACTTATCTCCCAGCTGGCGTGCAGAAGCTGCTCTGAACTCAGCCAAAGGGATCATGGCCCAGGGGTCCTCTGCTATCCTCAGTGTCACCCGGTTGGCACTCAGAGTCTGAGGCGTCTGCTGGGAGCTGGCTGCCTCCTGGTCCTGGGCTTTGCCCCTGCAGAGGTTCACCTGTGTGGGGCAGCACCTACTGCAGGTCCTGGGGGGAATTTCAGGCCATGACAGGAAGGGCTTCTCTATCTTCCCTTTCCCTGAGCCCCCAGAAGATCCCCGAGCCCACAAGTTCCAGATTAAAGTTAATGTGTTCCCCCATCAGTTTCTGCAGGGAAAATCAGAGGCAGCCAGGGCCCAAAGGCCTGGAGTGACAGGTCGTTAGGAGGTAGGGGGCTCTCAGCCTGGCCCCCAGGAGCCAGAAGTCCCACAGAGAAGGCTGGAGAGTCCCACGGGGCCTCGTTTCCATCTGCCACTGCCCCTCTGTGCTGAGGGCCATCGGCTCCTGCTCCTCTGACTCATTCACTGTCCTATGCTGGGATTCGATGCGGGTGGAGCTATGGGTGGCTAAGTGAATGGAAAGAGACTGGGAAGAGGGCTGGGTGTGTCTCCACACTCAAATGGCACAGGGTCCAGCAGGAGACCCAGGATGGCGCCCCAGCCTTGGCGCACAGGAGGTGTGATAGAGAGGGGCCGGCCGAGGGCACGTGCAGGTGCTGGTGGGCATGCTCCTGCCCCCGATTAAATTCCCTCTGGGACGTCCGCTCCTCGTGGCTGCAGCTTGGGGACCTGGGCATCCTGCGACAGCACCCACCATGTGTTCACAGACGTCTGCCTGTGGGGGAGCAGGGGCTTCTGACCCCCCCCCCCACCGGGGCACAGCTGCCTCCCTGGCAGGGCCTCGGGGTGGGAACTGGTGGGATGGCCAGGCAGAGGGAGTTGCCGAGGGCTGCCCGTCCCTGAACCTCTGGGTCCTTCACTCCATTTGGAATGAGAAATCTGGTGAAAGCTCTGGGCTCTGCCAGAAAAGGCAGGCATTTTTGGTTTTGTTTCGCTTTGGCAGTATTGGGGATTACACCTAGGGCCTTTGCTCTGAGCTATAGCCCCACTTCTTTTTATTTTAAGACAGAATCTCGCTAAGTCACTCATTTTCTCAGGGTGGGGTCCAACTTGCAATCCTGTCTCAGCCTCCCAGAGTACTGGGATTTCAGGCATACACCCCCACATCTGGCTCGAAGGCACATTTTCACCTGGAGTCTGGGGGCTCATGGCTCCTCTGAGTTTCCCAGAGGGACCCAATTCAGCTTGAGGACTGAGGCTTGTGAGGGCTGAGACACACTGAGGGGCAGTGCAATCCCCTTCCGGGGGCCCTGCCAGCCGGGCGCTGTACCTGGAACAAGTATGAAACAGCAAAACTTCCTGTCCTGTACCACACCCTTGTAATGTGATCTTGGAGAGAGGGTCACCTCACTTTCTTGAGACTCAGTTTCTCATCTGATAAATGGGACAGACACACCTAGTCTTGCCAGGCCATGCATCACGATAAACTGGCGTGCAGCTGGCCTCCAAGTTCAATGCAGTGGGAGAGGGGCTGAGACTGCCATCCTCTGCTGTGACTCAGCTGTGTCCTCCCTCCTCCAGGCCAGTAGCTGACTGCTGATCCGCTGCCCTGGGCCATGGACACCCCTGGCTATCCCTCATCGGTGGTCACGACCTCAGACCCTGGCGATGCCTCCTCAGCCTGGCCTCTGGATACCACCCTGGGAAACAGGTCTGCAGGCCCGGGCCCGGCAGGGCTGGCTGTCAGCGGCATCCTGATCCCGCTGGTCTACTTAGTGGTATGTGTGGTGGGCCTGCTGGGCAACTCGCTGGTCATCTATGTGGTCCTGCGGCACACAGCCAGCCCGTCGGTCACCAGTGTGTATATCCTCAACCTGGCGCTGGCCGACGAACTCTTCATGCTGGGGCTGCCCTTCCTGGCCGCCCAGAATGCACTGTCCTACTGGCCTTTCGGCTCCCTCATGTGTCGCCTGGTGATGGCTGTGGACGGCATCAACCAGTTCACCAGCATCTTCTGCCTCACTGTCATGAGCGTGGACCGATACCTGGCTGTAGTGCACCCTACGCGCTCTGCCCGCTGGCGCACGGCCCCAGTGGCCCGCATGGTCAGCGCGGCCGTCTGGGTGGCCTCAGCCGTGGTGGTGCTGCCCGTGGTGGTCTTCTCGGGTGTGCCCAGGGGCATGAGCACCTGCCACATGCAGTGGCCTGAGCCGGCGGCCGCCTGGAGAGCTGCCTTCATCATTTACACAGCCGCACTGGGCTTCTTTGGGCCACTGCTGGTCATCTGCCTCTGCTACCTGCTCATTGTGGTGAAGGTGCGCTCCGCCGGGCGGCGGGTGCGGGCACCCTCGTGCCAGTGGGTGCAGGCACCCTCAGGCCAGAGGCGGCGGCACTCTGAGCGCAGGGTCACACGCATGGTGGTGGCAGTGGTAGCGCTGTTCGTCCTCTGCTGGATGCCCTTCTACGTGCTCAACATTGTCAACGTGGTGTGCCCGCTGCCTGAGGAGCCCACCTTCTTTGGCCTCTACTTCCTGGTGGTGGCGTTGCCCTACGCCAACAGCTGTGCCAACCCAATCCTTTACGGCTTCCTCTCCTATCGTTTCAAGCAGGGCTTCCGAAGGGTCCTCCTGCGGCCATCCCGCCGTGTGCGCAGCCAGGAGCCCCCCACGGGGGCTCCAGAGAAGACAGAGGAAGAGGATGAGGATGAGGGTGGAGAGGGGGATGGGGGGGAGAGGGAGGGGAAGGAGAGGAAATGGCAGGAGCTGAATGGTGGCCGGGTGAGCCAGATCACACAGCCTGGCACCAGCAGGCCAGAGCGACTGCCCAGTGCGGCAGCAGGCAAGGAGCAGCGGCCCCTCCCCCAGGAGCCCTCTGCTGGGGAGAAGTCGGGCCCCCTACACATCAGCTGTCTATAGGGACCAGGGAAGGAGCTGGCCCGCTAGGAAGGGCAGAGGCCATGCATGCCGCCACATGGGACGATCAGAGGCCTGGGCTCTGATCCTGTTATTACCAGGATTGTTGTGTGACCTCGGCAGGTCAGTTGCCCTCTCTGAGCCTTGTTTTCTTCTCTGTGACTCAGGGATGGGAATAATCAGCCCGGATAGGCTCTGTCAGATGAGAAGCATGGACGGCATGGCTGCCAGGCTGACCTTCCAGAGTGGGGCCCCGGTTAGGGGATGGGCTCTGACTGGCTGGGAGCTCAGAAGAACAGTCCAAGGCCCGGACTTCCTGGGCTCAGTCTGGGACACTGGGGGCTGAACTGGAGCCCGAAGAAGAAAGTTGAACGTGGCGGGGAGGAGGGTATGGAAGGCTCAGGTCCCAGCTCAGCTCTCCATGGCCACCGTGAGGCTCGGGCTGGTTCGACTCCTCTAGGCCTCCACCTCTGCCCCCTGCACACTCTGGTGCCCTCCAGGGCCCACGGGCCCAGACAGTCTCTCTGGAAACCTCATGGAAATCCCATGCTCCTGGACGTGAGGAGGAAAAAGAAGCAGATTTTCCAGCAAGTGAATTAAATCTTGCTTCAGGGTCTCTTACTGCTTGGGTCCTCTGGGGGCCCCACACTCATTTTGTATTTGTGATTTTGTATTCCTTTTCTTAGAGAGGGCCCCAAAATGCATAAGCTTAGTCTAGTTGGGCCCCTGTTGAGCTCAGCCACCTGATCCCCAAGGCAGCTAGCGTCCCAGGGCTCTCTGTCCCAGAGGGCTCCCTAGGTAGGTTCTTGAGGGCTCCAGGAGCCTCCTGTCCCTCTCCTGCAACCTGTATCCTCCCCACTCTGAGACCAGGTCGGGGCTGGCATCTGCAGGCAGACACGGAAAGGCAGTGTCTAAAGAGCAGAGTGAGGGACAGAGGAAGAGGAAGAAGAAGCAGGAGGAGGAAAAAGGAGGAAAGGGAAAAGGAGGAGGGGGAGGACCGATGTCTTTAATGACCTTGGAGCTAACCCTGGCCCCACTGAGCTGAACTCAATTGCTGTATCCAAGGACCAGGGCTGACTGATGCCCTGCCCAACTTGTCTCTAGAAAAGGATGTGACAGGGGAAGCAAATGTCCCCAAAGGTACAGGGCCAGTCCCTGTTGTGCTGGTAAGGCCAGTGTGGCCTTGACAGAGATCCGGGTACTGGACATTGGGAGGGTGAGCCTCTCACGTGGGGGTATCAGGTCCTTCCATCCCCCCACCCTCTACACTCCCAGGGGCTTCAGTAGGACCATGGGGTGCACTGTCCAAGGCTGGCCGGGACACCTTGCTGAGATGACTCCTTAGAGCCACAAGGAGGTGGCCCTGGGGCAGAGGGTACTTCTGGCCAAGCACCCCCACTCCACCCCCACCTCTCTGAGGGGAGGGGGTCCTCAGGGAAAGCATAAGAACCAGAATTTTGGAGACTTGGGTCTTCAACTCACCTCAGGACCCTTGACCAGCTTTGACCTCTCTGGGCCTCCATTTCTCTGTCATAAAATGGTGGATGCCCCAGCCTGCCTGCCTCCTGGGATTTGGGGACAGAAGCAGCCATACCGAGGAGACAGACAGTCACTGAAATGGGTGGGCTAGGGCAGCTCAGATGACAAAGTGGAAGTGCCCTTCCTATCCCCAAGCTTGGCCCACACCTCTCTCCTTCATCAAGTGGCCTCTCTGGGTCCAGCTCTTAAGGGTGAGGCTGCTTCAGGCCTTTAGAAATGGGGGTAGGGGAGGCTAAGGGCCAGGGGCAGGGCCTGGGGACAGAGCAGACTCCTCAGAGGGGAAAGAAGGACATAAAAACAAACTCATGTAGAGGCTGCAGGCCTGAGGTCCAGCTCTGGTGGGGTGTGGAGCTCCTCTGAAAAGGACCGAGGGGTCAGACGGAGAAATTGCCCCTGGCACTCTAGCCGCCCCTACTTTCCTGACTCCTGGGCAGTGAGCAATGTGTTGCAAGGGGAGCAGGAGGCAGTTTAGGAAATCCTTTGCTGCTTCTGCCCCTAGCTCTTATCAATAAAGATGGTGACACATGACAACAGCTGTGGCCTGGGCCAATTCTTCGGCTGGTTACTGAGTGCTCAGATAGGTGTGAATGTGTGGGAGTGTTTGGGCTCTGTGCATCCTGGACTCTTTTTTTGTGGCTTCCCAAAGTAGGTACTTCAGAGGACATGGAAGATACCCTTGCCAGGCCAGGGCCACATCCTCATGGATCTCATCCAAAAGCAGTAGATAGCTTTTCTTCCTATTATTTAACTATAAAATCCCATGGAAGAAAGCTGATTGGCTCCAATTGAGTCACATGACAGTTCCTCGGGCCAATCACTAAAGACAAGGTGATTATAGGGTGCCGTGATTGGTCACTGTAGGTCACGTGTCTATCCTTCCAGCCAGAGAGAAAGTGAGGGACTATGTTGGACAGTCTGGCCTGGCCATTGAAGAAGGGGGTAGGTCAAGGACAGACTACCATGGCAAGGGAGGGTGGGCCAGGCCACCCCAGCTGCCTGAGCATGCACAGGATCACCACATGGTTGCTTTTGCTGGGTGGGATGAGCGTGGTTTGCATTAGCACAGAGCTGGGAATATACTAGGTGCTCAGGACATCTCAGCTGTGAATGTACACTGGGATGTTCCATTTGGCAGGTGTATGTGGGGAGGGCAGAAGGACTCCTGGGCCTGGGCATTACATGGGAGTGGCTGGCTGGGTCAGGGTCCCTCCCTAGGTCCCATAGCCCTGCAGTGTCCCACACTGGGTGTCCTTGCCTGCACATGCTCACATACATGCACATGTGTTGGCATCCTTGTCCCACACACACACACATGCTAGCCCTGAATAAACAAGTGTGGGGTTTAGGTGAGTGGGACAGGAGGACCTGGCTCTGGGGACTGGGGTTGGAATCTGGGGGTGCAGGGGACCTTGGGGGATGCAGCGTGAGTGGCGGCTCTGCAGTTGAGTCTGAGCAGGGAGGGAGTGGTGGTGACAACCCACCCTGCTTGAGTCCTCTCCAGTCACTGAAGTGGTTCAGAGTCAAGGTAAGAGGCTTTACTTCGAACTTGTCGCTCAGAAGTGGTTGCCAGGCAACAGCCCATGACCACCAGGCCCTGGACCAGAGCTCTGCGTCAGCGTCAGTGTAACAGAGAGGAGCTGGGAGTCACAGGGCCTGTGTCAGAGGAAGCCGAAGCCCCCAGATCTTTGAGATCCTCTTCACCTAGAAGGCATGTTGGAAGCCACTGTCCTACAGGAAGGTCACACCCTGCCCACCGTGACACTCCAGACACAGAAGAAAACTCTCGAAGCAGTGAGAATCCCACACTGCAATGTGAGCAGCTTCCTGGAGTCCTGCAAGGTCACTGTCCTGCTACGGCCTCAGGGCACTGCCCACCACTGGCAATCCTGGTGAGAACCTCGGCCGAGTCCACCGCAAGGCTGGTGGGGTGGCATGTATCCCCAAAAGTCAGGGATCTAAAGCCAGGAGGCCAGGGCCCTAGGCCCCATGCTGCTATGAACCTATTGTGTGGCCTCGGGCTGTTTCTCTCACCTGTCTGGCCATAGTTCATTTGGTTAACGAAGGTCTTTGGGACAGTAACTGCCAGGTGCCAGCCCTAGGCCGGGGTACAGGTCCTTTCCCTCTGCACCCTCACAAGCAGCTGTGGGGGACTGACTGCTTTGGGCTCCATGAGGAAGGGGTGTAGTGTGCTTGGCATGGAGGCAGGATGAGGCTGAGTGTGCCCAGCAGAGGGAGCTGCACGTGCTAAGGCCCTGAGGTTGAGAATTCAGGGTGCGATTGTTAGAAAGGTAGAGGGGAGCCCCGTTTGGGGTAGAGGTTATGTCAGAAGGGCTGGCAAGGGAGTTCCGTCCTGTTAGGGGCTGGACTGTGTTCCCCTAAATTTGAATGTTGAAGTCCTAAACCCCGGAACCTCAGAATGTAAACATACTAGGAAATACGATGTGAGAAGCAGGTATAAGAAGTGAAGATGAGGCCACACTGGAGTAGGATGGGCTCTTAATCCAATGACTTGGTGTTCTTAAGGAAATGGGAGGGCAGGTGGCACATGTCCATAAGCCCAGCCACTCAGTTGTTCAAGGTCAGCCTGAGAAACTTAGCAAGACTCTCTCAAAATACAATTTTTAAAAGGGCTGGGGATACAGCTCAGTGGTTGTGATTGTCTAGCATGTAGGAGGCCCTGGATCTGATCTCCAGTACTGAAAAAAAAAGTAGAAGGAGGAGGAGAAAGGAGGAGGGTTGGACAATTTGGACACAGCCAGACAAGGAGAAGCCCACCTAAGCATGAGGGGCGATGTTTCTCCAGGCTAAGGGATGCCAGGGATTGTCCACAAATTGCCAGAACTGCTTCCTTAGAAGCCTCCAAGGGAAGCAATCCCAGCGACACCTTGACCTTGGACCTCCAGCCTCCAGGACTGTGAGAAAACACATTTTTGTTTAAACTGCCCAGTTTGGGCACTTTGTTAAGGCAAATGAATGCCATTCCCCACTTGCCACACTTGGGCCCCAGAGGTCTTGTTGAATCCTTTCATTCCTTCATTCAAATATTCCCCCGTGCTGCCCATTGCGGAGGTCGAGGGCATAGAAGGGCAAGGCCTGTTTTCTAGGTGCTGAAGAAATGACAGCAGTGTTAAGGGCTTGGACTCCAGGACTGTTGAGGTTTGAGTCCTGGCTCATCCATTTGCTGTTTGACTTTGAGCCAGTTAATTAACCTCTCTGTGTCTCAATTTCCTTTGAGATGAAGATGAAAGGAAATGTCCCTACTGTCAGGAGACTGGAATGAGTTAACATTTGCAAACAGAGCAGTGAGCTGCATGCTAAGGTCTGTGGAAGTGTTAACCAGACAAGGCACTGCTTTGATCCAAGTTAGGACCTTTTTGGGGTGTGGCAGAGCTGCACAGGGGCCAGGCAGCACGTGGCGTCTCTGCCTGCTTTCTGGTTGAACAGCCAGGAGATGTGTCACTATTTGCTCCCGGGGGCCGCTGGCGGCTGCATTTGGTCCACACGCCCAGAACCACAGTTGAGTCTGAGTTTCCACCATGGCTTCTGCCATCGGACTCACAAGAAGGGTTGCTGCTGCCTGATCCTAATAAACAGCCCCTGTTATGGGGAGAACAAGGCAAACACAGCGCTTGTTTACCTGGGTGCAGTGGCAGGTAGGCGCTCAGCCACAGAATCAGGTCTGGACCCCAGCTCCTTCATTTCTTAGCTCGGAGTGCCTTTGGGCCAGCATAGGGACGCCTTGGAGACTTAGTCTCCTCATCTGTCAATCAGGTTCCATACCCGCTTCCCGCAAGACTGTCCTGGGACTGAGAGGCAAGGTGGCCCTGCTCAGCTCTGTGCACTGTGTCCTGCAGAGGGCGCTGCAGGACATTAAGGGCATGTTCCGCAGCTCAGCTCGGCCTCGTCATGACTCGCCTCTATTCGGCCACTCTCGGATCCACTCGGCCAGGTTCGGCTCTATTCGGCTGAAGATGCCTAGGGTCGGCCAGACTCACCTCTTTTCCGCTGTGCTCGACTTTTAGCTCGGCCCTGGACACTCAAAGACCTCTCCCTCGTTCGCTAGCGGTTCCTGACTTCCTAGAGCCCTTGGGTTTCAGGGCTTTAGGCCCGCGGAGGTCTAGCAGCGTCCTGGTGGACAGAGTCCCGTTTGGCTGGGTGCCAAGGGTGCCACGAGCGTGGCGGCGAAACCGGCAGCCGTCTTTTCCCCCTAGCCGGAGTCGGTGGAGATGGAGTCCTCCCGGGGCGGCAGGGGACTCTAGAGCCTAGCTTGGGGCCCCGCGACGAGGAGGCGCTGCTGGAGACAGGGACGCTGCCCGCTTTGCGGGGGAGTGCTGGGGTGTGGAGGAGGCGGCGAGTGAATTACCCCCACCCCTGCGGCCCCTGCTCCTTTGGTCCCCTAATGGGGGCGGTGGCCGAGGGAGAAATGAGGTCAGAGTTAGGGATAGGGTTAGGGCGCCCCTGGGCAGGGGGCGGCGCGGGCTGAGGGTGTGGGGCTCTCCCCAGCAGGTGGCGCTCACGTTACCCTTTGTTTAGATTTAAAATTGGTGTCTGACCTTGAAAGATTAGATCTGTGACTGCATAGTTTGCATAGCTGACTTCTGGATCCCGGAGTGACTATCTTCTGGAAGAGGGGAGATGTGTGTGGCTGGGATTCTGGCCTTGGTGACGTGGCTCAGGGCCGCTGGGCTGGGGTTTTGACTTTGCAGATGGGAGTTGTGGAAAAAGGTTGAGGGTATCCTGGACCCCAAGACTTCCTCACTGGGATGTGCATGAGGAGAATGCACGCACCTCATCGTATTCAGGGCTCAGCCAGGGAGATGCACTGAGGGGGTCAATATGGAGCACCCCCATTGGCCGTTTACCAGGCATACAGCCTTGGTGTCCTCGTGTTCATCTGGCCCAGGGCACTAAGGTTCAGAGGAGTAAGGAATCCTGCTCAAGATCATACAGAGGGATGTGGCATTGAATCATAACCCAGGTTTGCCTGCCCCAGGGCTGGAGCTGTCTCCAAACCTCTTAACTGGCAGAGATACTGGTGGCTGGGGGACTGTGTTAGCTTTCTGAAAACATCAACATAGGAGGGAGGCTCATAGTTGCAGAGGCGTCCATCCATAGGTGGTTGGCCTTTGTCCCTGAAGGCCTGAGTGGAGGCTGAACATCATGACAGAGAGCTTGTGTTGGAGCCAGACTGCTTGCTTTGTGGCAGCTGGGCATTGGAGAAGGGAATCAGAGAGGAAGGAGCCAGGAACAAAATGTCCCCACCTCATGAAACTAGGTCTCACCTCCTAAATTCCCATCACCTCCCAGTCAGCACCATTGTGACTCCATTCGTGGTTTAACCCACTGATGATGTCAGAGCCCTCCTGACCCAGTTCACCTTCCCGAAGGCACCACCTCTGAAGACTGCTACCCTGGGGACAAAGCCCTCAACATGTGAGCTTTAGGGGAATATTTCAGATCCAAGCTAGGACAGACCGAGATGAGGCAGGACTTTTAGGTATGGTGAAAGACAGGGGGAGGGAAATAAGTGTAATTATCCTGTGCTCTGCTTTCTTGTCTGCTGTGCGCCCAGCCAGCTGCCTGGACCCAGGGGGACAGGAGCTCGCCTTCAAACCTGCAAGTCACATTCTCATGGGTCGCAACTTTGTCTTTTGCATAGGGGTGCTGAGTGTGTGTGGGGTGCACACTGGGTGTGTATGGGGTGCTGACATCCCTGGACAAGACTGCTGGATCCCTAGCCTGCTTCTCTGTCTCTATGCATCTCTCTTCTCCACCCCCTTTCCACAGCCTCCCAGGCTTTCTAAACCAGAGGGCTCAGAGACAGCCAAGCGCCACCCCCACCCCCAGTGCTGCTGACTCTGCCTTTTCCAGGGTGGCGTCTGGCAGTGTAGGAGGGTGGCTCCCCTGGGCCATGGTGTCCTGTCTCTGTGGGTCAGATGGAGAAATGGGATAAAATCATCTCTAAGGAGCCTTCCAAGCCTGATTCACAGCTGTCTGACTGCCCACCCCCACCCCCCAATAGGAAATCTGGGGCCCAAGGGTAGGTGCTGGTCGAGGACACACAGCCAGGGGCTGTGCTGTTCTCTGAGACCCAGCTGTGAGTGGGAACTGAGGCTCAGTGTGCAGAGACTCAGACTGAACATATGTCCCCCACTGTTCCCCACACCTCTCCCCTCCCTGGCCCATGCTGTGGGCTCACATGCTTTGGATAGCACTTCTGTTCTCCACCCAGTCCTTTTCCACCTCAGTGTGACCTTGGGCAGGTCACTCAGCTGCCCCTGAGCCCGGCTCCCTCTCCTGAGGCTGAGATAATGGGTATAAACACATTTTGGGGACCACAGACCCCTGAGAGGTGAGGCTTGGCTCAAGCAGTAGGTATGAAGTGACTGCGGAACAGGAGGGTGGAAGCAGGCCAGGGACATTTGAGGCAGTCTGCACAGGGTTCTGGCCCCAGGAAGCCAGGGTGGAGAGCCAGGGCTGCAGCCTCTGCTAAACTTCCCCCGCCTAACCAGAAGGAAACCGAGGCAGGACCCTGCTCAGACCCAGGGCCCCACAGACTGTTCTCTGAACTTGTCAAGGATCATTTTCCTTACTGTAAAGGACCAGAAAGCTGAATAAAAATGACAGCAGAATCCCAGGCTGAGGAGGACTTTGGTGTCCACTGGCTGCCTCCCATCTGGCATCTGAGGGGTCCTGCCTGCCATTCACCCAGCCAGCCGGGCCCGCTTGCATGGCGTTTGGGTGGTGCCCTCCCAGTCCCCTCACCACCATCCACCCCCCGTCTGCCACTCAGCAGTGAGCTTTCGTACCCTGGACTAGGAAGTTTCCAGTGCCCTTAACAACTTAGGGGACTCCTGCCCCTCTGCTGGCTGCCTTGGTTTCCCAGTCCAGACATGGAGGGGCCTCAGACTCCTTGCTGCTCTGTCTTTCCAGGTCTTTGAATCAAACCACATTCATCAGGCCTCCAAAGAGTTAAGCAGTGGAAATCCTAGTCCCTTCATCTCCAGAGCCATCTGGCGCAGGGAGGGAGGAAGGAGGGATTGGGAGGAGGGAGTGGGCAGCCAGCTCAGCGCTCCCGCCTCCTCTTCCTCCTCCTTCTCCAACGTCCTCCTCCTTCTCCAACGTCCTCCTCCTTCCTGCTCCTTCACTCCCTGGGCTGGGGGTCAGCCAGGCAGCAACAAGTTACCATCACAGGATGGGCCCAGGAGCCAGCAGCCGCCCAGAGGCCCCGGGTCCGTGAGCCACTGTGCAGGGAGGCTGCAGGACACAGGGTGAGTGGTGGGAGGTCTCTTGCAGGGCTCAGCCGAGGGGCCTGGGGTCCAAGCCGGGGATTCCTCTCCTGCCTCTTCCTGGGCAGCCTTGCTGCTCTCTGTGGACCGCACCAGCCTGCTGCGCTGACTAGACGCTGTCTTGTACTACCCCAGCCCAGCTGTGGCAACCCCTGCAGTATTGAGGGCCACCTGGATGATGAGGGTCACCCTGCTCCCCCTGGAGGACCAAGCTCTCCAGCAGAGGCAGCAGTGAGCCTCTGATACCATGGTCCCCCACACTTGGTCCCGCCTGGCACCTCCCCCAGGGCAGGCCAGTTATTACTGTCCTTGGTAAGGCCACTTGGCTTCCTGCTTCCTGTCTCCAGCTTCTGTTCTGTGTCTCACAGCTTGTGACTTCCATCAGACTGGGGCCAGTAGGAAATAGAAATGTCCCCAGACTGTGCCAGCCTCCTGGGAGGAAGTTCTGTGCCTTCCTTGGCCTACTGGCACAAGGTCGGGGAAGGCACAGACTCTAAAGTGTTTTTGACAAGCCAGGAGCTTCCCCTGCATGTAATCTTCCCAGCTAACTGGGCACAGAGGTGGCATTGACATCTTGTGGATGCCAAGAAACAGGCGGCCCAGAGAGGTTAAGCCACTAGCCTTTGATCACAGAGCTTGTACTCTGGCGTCTCAGTTCTGACTCTGAGGCGTCAGCTTTTCCCACAGGATGAAACCACATCCCACAGAGATGGGAAAAGAAGGAGGGTTTACAGGGGTCTGTGGTTTACAGAGGAAAGTTGGTGATCATCGCAGGGGGCGCCATGCCAGTCTCTGAGGGTTGACCAGCTGGCTGGGAAGCTCAGGGAAGCAGCACCAGGGGAGGCAGGAGGAGTTTGGGACGGGTCGCCTCGGGAGGGGGGTGCTGTGGAGACTCCCTGCCCCTCCCCCCCGTTGCTACCTGGTCCCTGGCGAGGGGGAGACGGGGCCCCTGTACCCAGCGCTCAGCTGGGCTAGGGTGGCATTTCAGTCATTTTACCTCTACCTGTATTAACCACAAAAAATATTTTTGAATTGTACTAAATGTTAAAAGAGAGCAAAAGGAAATAAACAAAGAAATGCTAGAAGTGTAAAAACCGGTCTGGTTTCAGAAGCGAGTTTCTGATCCTGCCATCGCTGGGGGACGCCAGTCCCTGGGGGCTGCCACTGCCTCAGAGGCTCCCTGCTGGGTGTCCTGCCCACCTGCCCCAGCTTGTCTCCTCCACTGGAGTCCAGGCCACCAAACTTAAGGTCCCTGCATGGCCAACCTCAGAGGCAGATCCTCACCAACCCTTGGGCTTCTTTGACCCTTTTGAATTTTCCACACCTCATAGTCTTAATTCCAGTTTTATCACCTCAGTGGCTGATGGGCAGGTCTGTGATGATTGACACCGCTACCTTCCAATGACTTAACTCTGAGCCTTCCCTGCAGAGTTTCTTGGTAATGTTGGGTTGTGTAGGTTGTTGACTGCACAAAGGTGCTGAGGGATGAGATGGCTGACACCAACCTTTGCTAAGCTGCACACCCTTCAAAGGGGATTTGTTTCTCACTTGTCCACTCAGAAGGGTGCCGCCTTCTCTTCCCACAGTGGCGCTGCCAAGGCTGGAGTGGCCTGCAGTCCATGACACATCTCCCCAGTGTCTCAAGGATATGCTGACACTGTTGTCAACCCCTCACTTGCTGGGGCTCCCTCTCCGGTGGCGTTGTGTCCCAGATGCTGGAACTGACAGGCTCTCCTCTCTCCTTTGTCAGGATGAATGTCCCCTCTGCAGAGAGCGAGGCTACAGATGCCAGTGTGGCGTCCCTGGTGCCCCAGCTCCTCCCTGCCAACCCAGGGCACAAGCTGGCTGGGGTGGGAGGAGGGCTCTACAGCTGCCTTGCTTATCCCCATGGCCCCTGGCATCTCCCTGCCCACCCATAGCCCAGGCCCCCAGGCCCCCCGTCTGCTCAGTGTCCCCATGCAGCCTTCATCTTCCTGTCTGTCAAATGGGGGTCCTGCTCCTGCCCCCTGCACTTGCTGAGGGAGGCAGCAGCCACATGGGAGACCGGGAGGGAAAAGCAGTTCTCCTCCGTCCTTCCTTGTTCCAGGTCACCATGGGGATGACCACCCCGCGCCCTCTCTGGGCCATGCTCTTGCTCCCTCTTGTGGTGTCTGGGGTCTCCACTGAGGAGCCCACCTCTGGGGAAGCTGTGGCCCCCAGCCTCCCAGGCGGCTGCCTACGGTGCTGTGACTCCGGGGATGCGCTGGCCCCCACCGATGCTGCAGATGCTGCCTCTGTGTCCGCCCTCCCCTACGCCCTGCCCGAGGTCAGGCCCTACATCAACATCACCATCCTGAAGGGTGAGTCCCCATGGGGCAGGGCAGGCTGGGTGGCACCCCGGGGAGCAGAAGAAGCCAGGAGGAGCAGGCCACCTAAGAACCCCTGGGATGGGAAGGTGGATGGGGGAGGGGTGCAGGCCCATGGGGTGGGGGCTTCCAGGCTGGGGCATAGCAGGTACCAAAGCCCGGGATGGAGGGGCTAAAGGAGCAGGGCAGGAGGAGACCGGACAGGGCCAGATCACCCATGCTGTCATGGTAGCCAGCATGCGATCAGGGCTTGGGCCTCTCCAAGTGGGATCAGGGTGAGTTTGAGCTGACGGGGAGCTGATCTGACTTAGAGGTCTGATGGAGCCTTCTAAGGCCACATGCAGAAAGAACAGAGAGCAGGGACGGAGGCAGAAAGGACTACAGCAGTGGGGCCCACTCGGGCCATGGAGAGCGGGCGGCTCCCTGCCCTGTGACATCAGCTACGAAGCAGGCTGGGATGGTGAGGGCTGCGGCCGAGCCCCTGATACCCTCAGCCTCTGTCTTTGCTCGCACTGACCCTATGAGTTCACTACTCTATCATTCCTTCCATTTTGCAAATGGGAAAACTGAGTCTCCAATTGGGGAGGACCTCTCCTCCAGTCACACGGCTGTCAGGGATAGAGCAGAACTTGTTCCTGAGGGCTCCACGGGGCCACCACCCTCCAGTGACCAGCTGGTGTCTAAGGTCCCCGCCCCATTCTCATTTGGAATGGGGAGGGATGTCTCCCTTCCTGGCCACCCCTCCTCACCAGCTCCTACAGCACAGCTTCCCTGGTGGACAGTGCTCTGCTGAGGTTTGTGGGAGGGTGATCAGTCCTGTGACTGCCTAGAAAGGGGACCAGCGAGGACTAAAGAAAAGAGGATAATAGAGACTTGTGTAATTTCAAAGTCAGGAGGTCACTGCCTCAGAGTGGGCGAAGACAAAGACTCTCTGAGCTAGCCAGTGTTTATTGGATACACTCACAATAATTGGAGGAAGTAATGGGGGATTTAGGGGGCAGCAGAGATCCTATGTCCTTAGGGATCTTATGCTGATGAGGGCAGAAAGGAGAGCATTCTTACAATAGTAATGGGATGAGTTAAGCTGATAAGGAATTTGTCGTGTCCCCGTCCCTCCCCCCCCACCGTGAAACCTTTCTCTTTTTGTATTACTACTCGGTTCTCAAAGAACCAGGCTGTTTTCAGCTGATGTAATCTTGCCCTTGAGCATCACAGTATCCTGGCTCCCATTAAGACCTCAATTTGTGACCAGAGGCAAAACAGAGTTATGTCGAGCCATGCCCGGAGTTTGGCTCAGTGGTTCCTCTACCTGCCTTGCAAGTGCGGGGTCCTGAGTTTGATCCCTGGTACCAAACAAACAAAAAACCCCAGAGTTATGTTTCCCTATGCCACAGCCAGCTCGAAAGCAAGGCAACATTGGACCTTAGACAGCTATAGTTGTACTTTAATTATGAAATGATTTTTTTCCTCAAAATTTATGTAAAATGGCTCTTGACAGCGGTTGGCGGTGCCTGCATGCCAATTGTCCTTCCCCAAGCCCCACGCCACTGCATGCTGGAGGTGGCCTGTTTGCGGTGACAGAAGGCCCCAGGTGGCCTCTGGAGTCCTGGGTCCCTGCCCCAGCTCCTTGCCCATGTGTCAGGCTGGTCCCCTCTTCTAGGGTCTGCTGTCCTGCCCTGTACCCTCCTCCCTCCCCTGAGTGCGGGTGGAATGGGTGCTCTGCAAACCGCGAAGCGCGGTGCACACTTAAGGCAGCTCTCCCATGTGGAGGCTGGGGGACTGACCTCCACGGAGCCATGGACCCACCTGGCCCCCTTCTCCTCTGGCTCCTCCTTCAAAGGCCTATGGCCCCTCTCCAACCCTGTCCCCACCATGGTCACGGATGTGCTGCAGGTGTGGCCGTGGGCATGGCTTCCGGCTCTGTGTCCAGCTCACAGAAGTGTGAGGGATGTAGGTGCTCACCTGCCTGTGTTCAGGGTCAGCCTGGAGCAAGGCCCAGCAGGTATGCCTGTCTGGAGACCTGGGGACTCAGCTGGGGGCTGCCAGCACCCTGGGCAGGTGGGATGCCCGGGAGTGCTGGGCAGGCAGTTCTGCCTGTTGACTGCGGTCTGCCTGAAAGGCTTGTGAGTCCTCAGGGTGAAGCACATTATGGTCTGGGGTTGGGGTGTCCACGTGGTCATGGGGGATGTCCTCAAGATGGTGACCTAAGGTGTGCATTCCTGGTGTCTGTTGGGTTACCTGTTGGCACGCTGAGTTAGAATTAAACCATTTGCATGTGTTTGAAGTTTAGAAATAGGGGACCCAGTTGATAGTGCTGTTTCACTGAGAATGGGAGACTGGAAGACTGAGTCCATAGTATCGGAAGAAAGGCATGGACCCATTTTACAGCTTATTGTATCTTTTTTTTGGTAGCAGGGATCGAACTCGGGACCTTTCGCTTGAGAGGCAGGTGGCGGCACCACTGAGCTAAACCCCTGGCCCTAGTTTATTGTATCTTTAAGGCTCTTAGCTTAGGGATAAGAAGCCTGGAAGGGAGAAACAGGTCTAAAGGTGGAAAGGGCATTGGAACCTTTGAGTCCAGAAGCTGCAGTTTTCTTAAAAGTACAATTTAAACATTGTGACTTTCATTGTCTCCTTTCTACCTGACTTTATTTCTTCTGTCCTACTCAGAGAGATGTTTGGGGAGGTGACATCTGGCACACAGTAGGTGCTCAGTAAATCCTGACTCTTCCTCTGGCCCAAGCGGGGACAGCCTTCCAAAAATGCGTGCTTGGCGCAGGCTCAGTTGTCTTCCCTGACTTCTCCTTCTCATGTCCCCAACCACAGGTGAGAAAGGGGACCGAGGTCCGCTGGGCACACCAGGGAAGCTGGGCAAAGAGGGCCCCCGTGGGGACCGAGGCCCTCAGGGCATCAAGGGTACCAAGGGGCAGGCGGGCAGCCCGGGCAGCCCATGCCACACACGCTCCTCGGCCTTCTCGGTGGGCCGAAAGACCGCCCTGCACAGCAGTGAGGACTTCCAGCCGCTGCTCTTCGACACTGTTTTTGTGAACCCCGACGGGCACTTCGACATGGCTGCCGGCCACTTTGTCACACCCCTGCGTGGCCTCTACTTCTTCAGCCTCAACGTGCACAGCTGGAACTTCAAGGAGACGTACATGCACGTGGTGCACAACGAGGAGGCGGCCGTCATCCTGTATGCGCAGCCCAGCGACCGCAGCATCATGCAGAGCCAGAGCATGATGCTGGCCCTGGCACCCGGTGACCGAGTCTGGGTGCGGCTTTTCAAGCGTGAGCGCGAGAACGCTGTGTACAGTGACGACGTGGACACCTACATCACCTTCAGCGGCCACCTCATCAAGCCTGAGGATGACTGAGCACTCCGGTCACCCTCTTGGCTGGTGACTCAGGGGCTGGGTGGCTTTGAGCTGGCCCCGCCCCGCAGGGCTGGGTTTGCCCCTCTGGGAGGTGGGGAGGCCCGACTTCTTCTTTTTTCCTTACCACCATTATCCTTCCTGGTCTGCTTCTGTGTCTCTCTCCTCTCTGGCGTTTGTTTCCAGGAACTTTCTAATCTCCATACTCTAGAACTTTCCTAGCCTCACAGCGCAGCTCTCTCGCTCTTGAATGCGTGCATCTGTCTCCTGAGGATCTTGTGAAAATGCAGATCCTGATCCAGCTGGTCTGGAGTGGGCCCAGGATTCTGCATTCTGACAAGTTCCTAGGCAGTGCTGAAATTACTGGTCTATGGACCATACTTGAATGATCAGTACTCTATTCTGGTACTTTCTGAGCATTCTAGTACATTCTAGAACTTTCTGAATATTCTAGTATATGTTAGTACTTCCTAAATAGTCTGGAATCTTCTAGGTGCTCTAGAATTCCTAATATCCTCAAATTCATTCATCATTGCAGAATCCCCCTCTGTGTTCTCTTTGCTCTTCCCTTCCTGTCTTACTCTTCTCCTTACCTCCATATCTGCAGGGATCATTCATTTATTCATTCATCAGACACTGAGTATTTGGTGTAAGCTTAGCCCCAGGAAAGCAGAGACAAATCAAACACAGTCCCTGTACCTAGCCCTGCTCTTGGTGAGTGCCCAGTCCAGCCTGGTGGTGGTGGGGCAGACATTAATGATACACAGATTTGAATTCAGACCCAGAGAATGTGCAGGGCTCTCTTCAGACAGGCCTGTGCTCTGGGTGCTCAGGTTCTTCATTTTCCATTGCTACCTGGTGCACAGGGTCCCTGAGGTGAGGGTACTGTCCCCTTTCCACTCTGTACCTTTCTGCCCATGACCATCATTAAAGCAACCCCCAGAGGAGCCCTGGCTAGGTCAAGGGTCCTGTGGGAGAGGACTCAGGAGTCTGGGAGCATTTGGGGACAAAAGAAGCCCCTGGGGAATGAAGCCCAGACTCCAAGTGCCCTACACAGCTTACGGTGGCCTGTGGGGACTCTGACCTTCCCTACCAGTCTCTCCTGTCTGCCCCAGGGCTTCCCAGGGCCTTGCTCCACCCCTCTTGCTAAAGCATCTGTCAGGCATGATTCCAGCTGCTGTCAGACACGGATGTCTGTCCCAGGTGCTCTCTGATCTTCTGGGCCCCTCTCGCCAGCCCAGTGCCCCTGTCTTGCCAGGCTTTCTCAAGGTGCTAAGGCTAGGTGGGGAGCTCCCGCCATGGTGCCCTCCCTGGTGGTGCTGGCCTGACAGACATGGTGGATAGTGGGCCAGGACTGAAGGCAGCGGGCTGGGAGCCCTCAGCAGGTCCGTGGCAGTGACATGGGCCACATTCAGGTCACTGGGGGCCTCCCTTGAGCTCTGCTGCCACGCAAGGTCCTGGGAGCAGTCTCTGTCCTCCTTTCCTGGGGTGTGTGGCCACCAGTCTTCCTCTCTGCCTCCAGGTGGCCTGACCCTCTCCCCAGAAGGTCACAGCCTCTGGCCATTGGTGCTTCTGCAGACTCTGGGGCAGAGGGGGCCCTGGGGTGGGCTCTGGTGCTCACGGCAAAGGAGCCATGACTACCTGGCAGGGTGATGGGAACAGCCTGCCATGTGCCACCAAGTCTGGTGCTATAAGCTACCCCCAGCTGGACCACACCCTGCACTACTTGTCCGTGTGATTAAAGGATGCTGTGTCACCTGGCAATTCAGGCTGCTTCTGTCTGCTCTGAGCCCTTGACCCACCCTGGGGGCACAGCTGCTCCTCATCCTGCTGGGGCTGGGACAGCCCTGGGCTTCACTCTGTGTGTTCCCTACCTGCAGAGAGACCAGACCCACACCTCAGTCACACACATAGCCACTGGGCCCTGGAGTTAGTGGAACCAGCTCAGAGTCTGCTGTGACCCAGGCACAGACCACATCTGTGAGGCTCCATTTTCTGGTCTGTAAAATGAGGCTGCTGATGACGGGGTGATGCAAGATTAGCAGGGAAACCCACGCTGCACTTCACAGTGGGTGTCCTGGCAGAGCGGCTGTCTGAACTCCCATGGGGCTGTGCACACACATGCATTTAAAGTCATGAGCCACCTGTGACAGCACAGAGCCTACCATCTTGCTCTGCAGGGCCATTTGTTTGATGGCTTTCTGGGCACCAAGTGAAAGAACTGTGCTGTGAAGAACCTTCCATCTGCAGTGGCCTCAGATCTAGCCCAGCAGCCACAGATGCAGGGCTCTGGTTCCTTGGAGCCCCCCTGGCCTGGAAGAGAGGCTCCCAGTGCATCCAGATATTGTGTAGTACTCTCCGCGACCAGGGAGCCATCTCACAGGTGCTGTGGCCAGGCTGTATTTGCCCCCATCTCAGACCCTGGTCTTGGTGGGGACAGTGGCCCTGGCCAGCCAGGAGCCTCTTGTCATGTGAGTTCCCCAGAACTGGTGCTTGGCTGATTGTGGAGGCAGCAAAGCTGTGGAAACTTCCTGCTGAACGCCTGCATGAGGATCCAAGTTTCTCCCTTGCAAACCAAAGCAGAAACTGGAGGGCATTTCCAGCCTGTATTAGCCTGGGGGCACCAAGGCTGGCACTGCATGCCCCACCTTGTCCTCCCATTTGACCACTTTATGCTGGGTAGGCTGAGGCTGTCTGGATGCTGGCGAGCCTTCAAGGGGCAGGTCACCCAGGGCCAGGTGAAGCAATGAGGGCAGGACTGATGGCAGGAGGGACCACGCTGTCGTCCAAGGAGGACACAGAATATTTGAAAATGGGGCAGATGATGGAGGTCGGGGCATGTTGAGAGGCTGTGTACCCACTGGCCTTGGAAGCAGGCGAGAGGTTTGATAGCAGAAGGGGCAGCCAGGTGGGGTGCAGCTTTGACAGAGAGTCTGTCTAGCAGGCTCTGTTACCCCTACAAGACTTTGCTCTGGGGCCTGGAATTTAGCTCAGTGATGCCGCCCCCTGCCTTGCAAGCGCAAGGTCCCAAGTTCAATCCCCAGTACCAAAAAAAAAAAAAAAAAAAAGACTTTGCTCTGATCTTTGGAGGGGTCTGGAAGCGTCCTCTGCCCTGGCTCTGCCTGGGATCCTTGTTTGGCTAGAGGGCTGGAGCATGCTGGGTAACACGTTAGCCTTTATCACCCCCGTCCCCCGCTTTGTTCTTTATCTGCAGCGTCAGATTCAAAATCTCTTCCCCTTACCTATTGAGGATGCTTACTCCACTGAGGGACAGGGACTACGTGGGAGTGACAGTGTTTTCAGAGCCCCAGATCAGAACCTGTGGATAAATGAGCACTGATGGTGTCAGAAAACATAAAGTGCCTGTGACAGGGGCTTGGGAAGTTTCAGAGCAGTGATCAAGGCTCACATTCCAGGGTGCCGGCTCTGGAGCCAGTCTGGGGGCTCTGATCTGGACCCCTTTCCCTTAGCTCTGTTCCTAGCTTGAGCACTACCTTGTGACCCCTAGAGGGTGACCTGGGCTCATCGCTCCCGCTGCATGAGACTTGGTTTTGCTCTGGTTGAGGATGGGAGGTGATAGCCATCCTGTGCATGAGCAAGGCAGACACCTGAGCACTTCCTGCTGGATGAGTGACTGTCAGTGAGCTTGGGGGACTGGCGCAGGGGAAGCCAGAAGCAGGATCCTTGGCCAGGGGTGGGAATGCTACAGCTTGCCCCTCTTGCACAGCCCCGCCTGTCGGCCCCTCATGGTAGCCACAGGCTGCCACGTGTGCATCTAGAGGATGGGGAGAAGCAGGCCGATTCCACAGAAGCAGAAACAGATGTAGAGCACACTGTGGGTGGGGCTGTGCAGGGCGAGCTGGAGCCAGCTGAGGGCTTGGGAGCCAGAGAGGAAGGAAGGATTTCCAGGACAAGTCAAAAGTTCACAGGGCTGTGCAGGCCTGGCTTCAGGGCAGCTGGCCTCTAAGCCAAGAGGGAGGCTGGGCACCAGCGTGGAGGTGGAGGGGGAGCCATCGGCCGTCCAGGTGCATGGAGGTGATCCCCTCAGGTCAGCAGCAGGGTGAGGCAGGCAGAGGCACCCCTCATGTCCCAGTGGGTGGCTGGATGTCACTGGCTGACTGCCAGTGATTGACTAACGCCACACGCTGGGGTGTGTAAGAAACACAGCTTGCCTGCTTGTCTGGCTGATCCATTTCCACGGGGTGCTTCCATCTGCTGAAACGGAAGAAAACGTGTTTTGGTCCAGCGGGGCTCCTCTCCCCACACCCATGCACTGCCCCTCCCTGGTGGGAGAGGGAGCCCCAATGCGCTCCATGTCCATGTGTCCAGGCTGGGCTTGCCAGCGTCTAATCTGCTTGGGGCCCTGGGTCACTCACGTACCTGCTGCATTGTGCCCATCTGCAAAGCCTCTTCTGCCTCTTGGGACTCCCAGGTTCCTTCTGCACAAGCCATGGCCCCTGATAGCTACCTGAGCCTGGCCCCATCTGCTTGGATCCACTATGGGAACATTTCTCCCCCGGGGTTCTGCCCAGGAAAGAGGGAATAGCTCCTCTGAATCTCAGGTGCCCCAAACTTTCAGAAGTCTTCTCTGTAGCCCTCCACTGGGCTCAATTTGAGGTAGAGAGGATGGGATCACTTTGTCCAGGTGCCCCCTCACTGGCACTGTCCTTGTGTGCCCTCTGTCTCTCCCTCTGTGGGGAGCATTTTGGGGGTCCTCTCCTAATGCTCTGGGCTGGACTCCCCTTGTCTGGAAATGCAAGAGCCTGTAGTGTCCCTCCTCCCACTCTTTGCTACACAGCCCTTCTGTACTTGCTGACATGCTTTTGGGTGCACAAACACATGTCCAACAGGACACAGCAAAAAAGAAAAACGACCTTGCTATAATCCCAGCATTTGGGAGGCTGAGGCAGAAGGATCTCAGTGAATTCAAGGCCAGCCTAGGCCACATAGTGAATTCACTTGAGCTACATAGTGAAACCCTGTTTTTTAAAAAAATCCAAAATAAATGAAATGACTCTAAGTCACATGACATGGCAACTTCAGGGCTCATGGATTCAGGCTCTCAGTGACCTCAGCAAGGACTGGGATCTGTCCTGTATTTTCACTCTGTGTGCTCAGCACAGTATCTTTGTCCTTAGCCCAGTTTCTGGCACAGATGGTGGCCAGAGATTCCTGTTTGGGTTCCAAGTGTCACCTCACAGGCATAGCAAGGGCCAGTGAAAGAATCACAGATGATTTGAGCAGCAGCTGCTCCTCACTTCTCATTGGACAGAACTGGTCACACGACTGTCCTCACCCTAACCTCTGGCAGGGAGAAAAGGATGATGGGAAGTGAGATTTATCCAAAAGGCTGGCCTCCATCCCTGAAGCCAAATTAGAGTCTCACCAGGAGGAGGGGACCAGGAAGAAGCTGTGATGTGCACAGATATGGCAGCAGCACTGATGTCGCCATCCCTAGAACCCCCAACGTCACCCCACAGAGCCAGTACTGTTGGTTAGTGGTTGGTTTCGCAGAGGTGGCTGGAGGTGCTGCCTGTGTCCTGTTTTAACTGAGCACCTGAGGACGGGTCTCTTGGGTCTCTTAATCTTGCTATGCCTCAGTTTCCTCACCTGTACAGTAGGGCTGTTGGGAGGATTTTGGTTTTACCATTTTTTTTGGAGACACTGTCTCACTATGTAGTTTGGGTTGGCCTTAAACTCATCAGTTATCCCAGGCTGGCCTCCATCCTCCTGCTTCATCCTCCCGAGTGCTGGGATTACAGGCATGTGCCACCATACCCGTTGAGGATGGGCCTGTGGTACATGCAAAATACTGGCACAAAGGAGCTGGGCTAAGTGATGTCTTAGTTTAAGCCAGATCATTTATTATACTCATTTTACAGGAGAAGCCACTGTGAAGTACAGAGACCCATCAGCTCCCCTCACTCATGTATCAGCTGTCCCTCTGGATACCTGTCAGAAGCTCAGCACTGTCCCAGGCACAGGGGACAAAGCAGGGAGTGAAACCCACGCAGTCCCTGCCTCAGTCAGTGGCTTGCAGTCTGGCAGGGAGAGTGACATTGCCCAGTCCCAGTCACCACAGCCTTCACTGTGGGGTCAGAGCTGTCAGGGAACAATGGGGACATGAATGTGGGAAGGCAACAAGGTGGGGACAAGGGTTCCACTGAGCCCAAACCACAGGCAAAGGAAACAGCACACAGGCAGAGGGCAGCCAGGCTATGAGGGTGCAGGGCAGGGTTCCTTCCCTGCCTCTCTAGGGACCTTGAGCCTGGATGCCCGCAGCCCACGGCGCACTGGACTCAGCCTGCTGTGACTGATGAAGGCCACTAGTGCATGAAGAAGGGATGCACTGGCCTGAGTCGGAGGGAGGCACTTTGGCTCCCGGGCTCCCAGGGACTCCTCTGTTCCTGGGACCCCAAACCTCACACCCTTATCCTACCTCCAAGCCCACCTCTCTTCCTTGCCTCACCCTGGGGGCCAAGTAGTTGATGGAACTGAGGGACCTCAAGGCCAGCAGGGTGTGCAAGTCCTGCTCCCGGAAATTGGGAAGCAGAGTGAAGCTGGACCCATGGGGCTGTTCAAAGTAGGGCCTGCAGTCAGCCTTGACCTTGGTGAATGCCACACACAGCAGCTGCCTGGGCTTTCTTAGAGCCTGCGTGCTGTGTTCCTGGAAAAATCTAGTTATTCTGTCTACCTGTCCATCTGTCCATCCCCCTACCATTTCTTCAGTCCATCCATCCATCCTCTATGATCTGCC